TATGCTCTATCCTATAGGGTTGCTATGAATAAGAATCAACTTGATGGCAGTGGGTTTTAGTTTATGGTTTGTGTATGTGTGTGAAATTTAAGAAATTGTTACTTATTCTCAGCATAAAAATATTTGTCTGTATTTGTTTATATTGTCATCTTCTAGGAGCTTTGGTGATGCAGTGGTTAAGGCATTTGTCTGATAACCAAAAGGTAGGCAATTTGAACCTTCCAGCTGCTGTGTGTGAGAAAGATGAGACAGTCTGCCTCCATAAAGATTTACAGCCTTGGAAACCCTCTGGGGCATTTCTGCTCTTTCCTATAGATAGCGTTGTTGTGAGTCAGAATTGACTCAGTGGCCAAAAACCAAACCAAACCCACTGCCATTGAGTCAGTTCCAACTCATAGTGACCACCATTGGGTTTCCAAGGCTGTAAATCTTTACAGAAGTAGATTGCCTCATCTTCCTTCTGTGGAGCAGCTGTTGAGTTTGAACTGCTGACCTTGTGGTTAACAGCCAAATGCCTTTATATTCACTGTGCCACCAGAGCTCCTTTGAATCAGTGGCAGTAGGCATATATAGTCTTAAGGTTTTTTTGTTTTCTTTTTGTATTTGCCTTTAAACCATCTGGAATTGATTTTTTTTGTGTCGGATATGAGGAGATCCAATTTTATTTTCCCCATATGTGGCTGGCTAATCAGCTGCCCCAACACCATTTATTATCTGTTCCCTCCTTTCCCCACTAATCTACAGTGACAGTGTTGCAGAGGCAAATTTCAAAATGTGATGGTAGAATAATTTGGAAAAGGATAATGGTGGTGATTGCATAACATAATGAATGTAATCAGTGTCAGTGAATTGTACATGTAAAAATGGTTGAACTGGCAAATGCCTTATATATGTTTTTACCAAAATAGAAAAGAAATTACGTATATAACTGCCCCTATTCCAATACCATTCTATCTTAATTACTGTAGATTTATAATAGTTCTTAATATGGAAAGAGCCCTGGTGGTGTAGTGGTTAAAGTATTCAGCTGCTAACCAAAAAGTCGGCAACTTGAACCCACCAGCTGCCCCGCAGGAGGAAGATGTGGCAGTCTGCTTCTGTAAATATTTACAGCTTTAGACCAACATTCAGTAGAAAAATAGGCAAAGATTTCAATGGGCGCTAGGAAGAACAACAATACAGGGCAGTGCTGCTCTGTCCTCCATGGTCACTGTGAGTTAGGATCCACTCTATGGTAGTGTCTTTGGTTGGTTGGTTGGTTTTGATATGTTAAGCACCATATCATAACTCATCTTATTTTTCATCATGAGTATATTAACCTTCTTAGCCCTTTTGAATTTACATAAAAATTCCAATCAGCTTATGCTCCATTAAAAAAAAAAAACTTTTTAAATTTTGGTTAGAATTGAATTCAATCAATATTCCATTTTGGGAGAGAATTGCTGTTTTATTGTATTGAATATTATAGTCTATCAGCTTGTTATTTCTATTTTTAAAAGTCTTTGAATAAATTTTTGCTAATTTGTAAAGATTTGAATCTTTGGTTACATTTATTCATAAGAACTTTTTTTTTTTTTTAATGCTGTTACAAATGGCATCTTTTTTCTTTTTGTTTTAAATCTTATTGTGGTGAAATAACATATAACAAAATATTTGCCCTTTCAACCATTTCTATGTATACAGTTTATGGCATTATTACATTCACTGTGTTGTATAGCCATTACCATTATCATTTCCAAAGTTTTTCATCACTTTTAACAGAAATCAGCACCCCTTAAGCAACGCGCCGCCTGTTTTCCCCTCCCTACTACTCCTGGTAACCACTAATAAACTTTGGTCTCTATGTTTGTTTCTTCTGGATATTTCATATAAGTGAGATCATACAATATTTGTCCTATTGTGTCTGACTTATTTCACTCTCAGCATAATGTTTTCAAGGTTCATCTATGTTGTAGCATGTATCAGAACTTCATTTCTCTTTCTGACTTGAGTAAAATTCCATTGTACAAATACTTATCTGTTCATCTGCTGGATACTTGCCGTGTTTCCACCTTTTGGCTATTATGAGTAATATTGGAATGCACATTGATGTTCAAGTGTCTGAGTCCCTCCTTTCAGTTCCTTTGGGTATACACCCAGGAGTGCAATTGCTGGGCCATATGGTAGTTCTGTGTTTAACTTTTTTGAGGAACTACTAATCTGTTTTCCACAGTGACTGCACATTATTTTACAGTCCCACCAAGTGATGTACAAGGGTTCCATTTCTCTATATCCTTACCAGCACTTGGTATTTTTCATTGTTTTGATTTCTATTTATCTCGTTAACAAATGAAGTTGAGCATCTTTTTACATACTTATTGGTCATTTAGCTGGACTATATGAAGAAAAACGTGGTATCAGGATTGGAGGAAGAATCATTAACAACCTGAGATATGCAGACGATACAACTTTGCTTGCTGAAAGTGAGGATGACTTAAGGCACCTACTGATGAAGGTTGAAGAATACAGTCTGCAGTATGGATTACATCTCAACATAAAGAAAACAAAAATCCTCACAACTGGACCAATGAGCAGCATCACAATAAATGGAGAGAAGATTGAGGTTGTCAAAGAATTCACGTTGCTTGGTTCTACAATCGATGCCAACGGAAGCAGCAGTCAGGACATTAGACGACGTGTAGCATTGGGAAAGTCAACTGGGAAGGAACTGTATCAAGTGCTGAGGAGCAAGGATACCTCCTTGAGGACTAAGGTGCACCTGACACAAGCCATGATATTTCCAATTGCCTCGTATGCATGTGAGAGCTGGACAATGAATAAGGAAGACCGAAGAAGAGTTGATGCTTTTGAGCTGTGGTGCTGGCGAAGAATGCTGAAAGTACTGTGGACTGCTAAAAGAACTAACAGATCTGTCCTGGAGGAAGTGTAGCCAGAATGCTCCTTAGAAGCAAGAATGGCCAGACTTCGTCTCACCTATTTTGGTCATGTTATAAGAAGGGACCATTCCCTGGAGAAGGATGTCATGCTTGGTAGGGTGGAGGGTCAACGAAAGAGGGGGAGGCCTTCAACGAGATGGATTGACACGGTGGCTGCAATGATGGGCTCAAGTATAGCAGGGATTGTGGGGCTGGCGCGGGATCGGGCAGTGTTTCGTTCTGCTGTGCATGGGGTCGCTATGAGTCGGAAACGACTCAACGGCACTTAACAACAACAACATTGGTCATTTTTATGTCTTTGGAGAAATGCCTGTTCCATTCCCTTGCCCATTATTTTGTTAAGATCCAAGTGGCATATTTTTAAATACTGTATTTTCTATCTCTTTGTGGAATGAAGAAATACAGTCAATTTTCATGAAACTGGTCTTCATGTCTAGCAGCCTTGAGTTGTTAATTGGATTTTCTATATACATAAGCATACCATCTGTGATTAAAAGGCTTTTCCTACCATTAAGCCTTCCCATTGAGTTTTAAACTTCAGTGATGTGTTTTTTTATATATAGAAGTTTTATTTGGCTCATTTTAAAATCTGTTGACTACCTCCTCTTTTCAAGCTTCTCTTTTATTTCTTTTAACATATTACACATTATTATTTGTTTTCTGTTTTGATATGAATTCATTTACAGTGTGATCTTGCAGTTTTCTTTTTTCTCCCTTAGCAATCTTTACTTTATTTTTGGTCATAACATGTGATTTAAAAAAAAAAAAAAAACTTTTTATTTTGGGTAAAATTTTACAAAGCAGATTGTTTTTATATTTAGCAGTTTATAGTTTTGTGACACTGATTACATTCCCAATGCTGTAACAGCTCTCTTCCCACTTCTTTTTCTGTGTCCTTGCCTGTGCATTCTTACCTTCCTACCTTCATCCAGGTGCAAATGCTGCCCTTCAGATTTCCCATGGTAGGTTGTTCTAAGAGGTGCAACTCCCTGGTGTAGGTGTTCAGTTCACATGCCTATCATTTGACTGAGAATTAAGCGACTGGCAGTCTGTTTCTACTAGTTTTTTTGGTGTGTGTGTTTGTGTGTGTGTGTATTTTGTGATTTGAACTATGGAGTCATTTCTTCCTTTTTAAAATTTTTACAGAGCAAATTCATTTTTGATATAGCAGTTATGAACTCATTTCTTGAAAATTTATTTCTGCTAGATGCTTGGTAGCAGTATTAATTTAAGACCACTTTTGGAACAACTTTTAGTTTGAATCAAGGCTATAAACCTATAAGAAGGGTAGTGTGTGGTTAGGGATTTTCAGAGGTGGTGGTATTGTTATCGTTTTGGATGTCCTCCTTACTTAGGCACTTTTTGTAACCCCCTAGGGAAGATTTCTAAGGAGCTTTGGTGGCATAGTGGATGAGCCAGTTGGCTACTAACCAAAAGGTCTGTGGCTGAAAATCACTAGCCGCTCTGTGGAAGGAAGATGGGAAAATCTACTTCCATAAAGATTTACAGTCTCAGAAACCCAATAGCGGTGGCTATGAGTCAGAATCGACTCAGTAGCATTGAGTTTGGTTTGGTTTTTGGTTTAGGGAAGATTTTTAGGGCATCAGTACATTGAGGGTATGTTGAGGTGTCAGCTTTATGAGAGAGTCTGTTAGACTCTATACCCTCAGTAGGCCTTGGTCTTTGCTTCCTGCCCTTTGTCCTGCAGTGCTATGAAATCTAAGCTCAGGTTTTTACCTGTTTTGGCATATGTCATGCCCTCAAGGTTAAAAGCTTTACCTTTAATGCTTCCTTTTGCACTGGGTTTTTGCCCTCTTGCTAGCTCATCAAGGCCTTTTAAAAGGTGTTTTTGTATTTTATCAAATATTTTATTTTCACCAGGAGTATTTAAGTCAGGGTAATTAATTCACTGTACTGTTGGATATTCATATATTATTTTCACTATGTTGATTCTAGTTATTTTAGAAAGAAAAATAAAAAGTTAAACACATTAAAAATTTCATGAAAATGAAATGGAGAATGGCCTTTTGTAGCTGCTAATTAAAGATATTTGTTTCTTTATAGGTGTCAGCTGTGATGCATGTTTAAAAGGAAATTTTCGAGGTCGCAGATACAAGTGTTTAATTTGCTACGATTACGATCTTTGTGCATCTTGTTATGAAAGTGGTGCAACAACAACAAGACATACAACTGACCACCCAATGCAGTGCATATTAACGAGGGTAGATTTTGGTAAGTAATTAACATTTTCATGGATTATCATTTAGAACTTCATGTGTGTATATTAGTGAAGAAATAAAGGAAAATATTCTAAAACTATCCCCAATATCATACTTGAGGCCTCAAATTCATTAAAAATAAAATGAACATTACTTTTATGTTCTAAGTAATTCTGTCTCTTAATCACAGTTTACTTGTTTATGTAAACCATTCAGAAATTTATTCAACTATAACAAGGCATGAAATGGAAAAGTTCCTCCGTAAAGAAAGAATAAAGTTAATCTGACTGTTCTTGCTAACAGTACACAAGTACAAGTGCTTGTTCTAGTTATTAGGAAGGTGTTTTGTTTCTACAGTTGATTAGAAGACATTGTCTATCCTTAAGAAAAACTACATACTTTTTTTTTTTTTTTTTAATGATTTGGGTGAAAGTTTACAGAACAAATTCATTTTCCATACAGCAGTTCATACATATTTTATTTCATGACATCAACTGCAATTCAGCACAGTATAACAGCCTCTCTCACTCCCTCCTTGCAGTTACTTCTTCCCCGTGTCCTTCTTTCCTATACATTCCTGCCCCCTGAGCTATCTCCCTATGCAAACACTGCCCTTTTGTTCTCCCTTGACTACTTGTTCTAAGAAGTAAGTGTGTGTTAGACTGGGCTCTCTAGAGAAACAAAACCAGTAAAGCTTATATAGAGAGAGAAAGGGAAATTTATCTTAGGAAAATGGCTCACACAGTTATAGGAGCTGGCATGTCCCAAGTTCTTGGATCAAACGTCAAGCTGGAGGCTTTTCCCAACTCATGCAGCTGCAGGGGCTGAGGAGCTCAAGGTTGGCAGGCAGTATACTGGCTGTTGACTCCAATGAATGACGAATCCAAGATCTCCAGGCCGAATGGTGGATTCCTCGCTCACAGACAGTTGCAGACAGCGCAACAGAATCCCGATCCACAGAAGAGTGTCTCTTTTCCCATGATACCCATAAATATACTAGAAGCGGGCCACACCCCTAGGAAAACTCTCTTTCAATGGATTGACTGCTCAAAACATATACATCTGATCCCATCACTGGAACAACCCACATCACAATTGCTTAAACCACACAGAATTGTGGTCCCGGAAAATTGACACACAGCTCCAACTATCACAGAGTATATCTACCCAATGTAAATGTTCACCCTCTAATCCTGTCTGTTGTTTGGCTAGAAGCCAAACTAGGGGCTGTAGTCTCAGGGGTCTCATCAGGCTCTATCAGACCAGTAATCGTGGTCTTTTTTATGATTTTGACTTTTGTTACACATTATTCTCCCACTCTATCAGGATCTCCTATACTGATCCCTTTCCAAGTGGTTGACGGTGGTAGCCAGGCACCATCTAGTTCTTCTGATCTCATCGTCATTCATATAGACTGAAGTTCTCGTCCACTCTTGGGCTAATTGTTTCCATGTGTCTTTGGTTTCCTTCATTCTTCTTTGCTCTGGATGAAGAGAGACCCATTGTTGCATCTAGGTGGTTGCTTGTAGGCTAAGAAAACCTTATAAATGCTTTATGCTGTAATTTCTTAATCCTGTCACTCGATAACACAAGAATGGAACATACTTAGTGTTTCTCACACTTGTCTGAGAGAAGGCTAAAATTTGTGCGTAAGAAAATATTATGGCTAAAAGTAAAAATCAGAGCATTTTAAGCTTTTTAGTTATAAAGGTCTTAAATCAGACCAGAATTATACAGTCATAGAATCTGAGGTCAGGAAGGGACCTTAAATATCTTTAAAAACAGTGATTCTTTTTTTTTTTTTTTTTTCAGTTGTGATTTGGGTGAAGATTTACATAGCAAATTCACATTCCATACAGCAGTTCACATATACTTTGTCTCATGACATTGACCACAGTTTACCACAATGCAACAGCTCCCCTCCCACTTCCTCCCCATAGTTGTCCATCCCTCCATGGACTCCTGCCACCTGAGCTGTCTCCCTGTGCATAAGCAGGCCTTCTTTCTCCCATGATTGTTCTCTCCAAGGAGTGTATCTACTTGAGGTAAATGAAGAACAATGATTCTTTAAGCCACTCTTCACCCCTATGTATGATATATTTACATCAATAACTAGATGGTAGATGATGGATGGGAATCAAAATCTTCAAAAGCAGAGCTTTGGAATCTATATTTTTTTAGAGCGGCTTTAAATTTACAGAATTATACAGAAAGTACAAAGAGTTCCAGTATACCACCCCCCACCCCCCACCCCCCGCTTCTGACATTATTCTCTAATTAAAATCTTGCATTCTTGTGATACATTTGTTACAATTGATGAACCAATACCAATTCATTATTTTAAATGAAAGTCCGTATTTTAAATTCAATTTGACTCTGTATGTGTATAGTTCTGTGAGTTTTGACAAATACGTAATGTTCTGAATTGACCATTATAGTACCGTACCAAATAGTTTCATTGCCTTAAAAATGCTTATGTTCCACCTGTGCATCCCTCCCTCTTCACCTAACCCCCTGATGTTTTCACTGCCTCTTTAAGTTTGCATTTTCCAGAATGTCATATAGTTGGGCTTCAGTGGTAGCATTCTCACCATCTCCATGTGAGAGGCCCAGGTTTGATTCCTACCCAGTGCACATGTCAGTGGTAGTTTGCATGTTGCTATAATGATGAACAGGTTCAGCACAGCTTCCAGAAGAGCCGACTAGGGAAAAAAGGCCTGGTTACTTACTTTTGAAAAACATCCAGTGGAAAAAGTATAGATCACAACAGTGCAGTATACAGCTCATCATAGGGATGGCATTCATCACACGGTCAGAAAGCATTTCATTCTGTTGTGCGTGGGGCACCATAAGTCAGGGCCAACCTGAAAGCAACTAACAACAATAGCGGCATAGTTTGGCCTTTTCCAGAATGTTGTAGTGTTGGAATAATATAGTATGTAGTTTCTTTTTTTTTTTTTTTCGACTGGCTT